CGTGACTTGAGAGTGGCTTCATGTCTGTCCACAACCCCCTAATTCCCACCCTCATGTTTGTCCAGTCTCTCTCTCTTCCTCTCCTAGCCCTCCTCTCCCCTCTGCCTTGGCCCCCTTCCTCACTCCCCACCCTCCTTTCCTGGTCTCTGGGTCTGTGGGGGTGGCAGGGCTAGTGGTCAGAAGATCTGCCAGGCATGGCAAGGCTGGTGGCCAGTGGCTGCAATTGTGTACAAAGGGGACTGGAAGTGGAAGAAAACTGGAGGGAAGTGGTGAGGGTCTCAGGCCAGACTGGGGAAGGCTGGTTCTTCTCCCCACCCGCGCTGGGGCCCTGCCGGCTAGGCGGAGGGCAACAGCCAGTGCTGTTATTGTTGGAGAGAAGTCCATCTGGCATCCATCCTGCTGGGCCCCTAGCCAGCACCCACACCCCTCTGTAGCCACCTCCCAAGCAGAGGAGGTTGCTGGGTGCCAGGGCCCCCTGCTGGACAGCCTGGGGAGCCCCAACTCACACAGGCCTTGCCTGGCGTTTTTCTAGCCAAACCTTGCCAGCTCTCTTCAGTCTCTGCCTGGTCTTCTGGCCTCTCTCCCTCCCTGAGCTCCCTCAGGTCCCTGTCGAAGGGGTGGGGTGGGAAGGGTTGGTCCTGCTGCACCCCTACTCTCCACCTTATCCACCACCCTATATGGGACGGTGGCTTGCCCCAGACTCCCTCCCCCACTTGGCAGGCCCCAAGCATGACTTACCACCTCACACACAGTCCTCTCTCTCCCCAGGCCTGTGTCCTCTCAGCTGTCACCAACAAGTCATCTGTGTTTGCTGAAAGTGTGTTTGTTTGGCCTGGGGGTTGGTAACCAGCACATGTCTCATGACCGTCTATGTTCTCAGTTGTGTTTGTGACTATATCTCCATGGCCTTGTGACACGGCTGGGACTAGGGAGAGGCCAGTAAGGCACTTGCCAGGGGTGTAAAATGTAAGGGGGAGCCAAAAACCTCATTAATCAAGATAAATTTTAGGCCAAGAGCAGTGGCTC